ACCAGTCTTGTCTGGCACTGGCTTTTATATCAAGAGGAACTCACTCTATGGCGATTCTATACAAAAAGGTAATAATGATTTGTAAATCACAAGTTATGGAGCCATAAGCTGGGAGACTAGCTAGTGATTCTAAAAGTAACTTCTTTTCTACTTGATGGATGAAGAAATTTCATTAATAATAAGAAACAAACCTAGCCAGCATGAGCTCACCCTGCTACAAAGCCATGCACTGAGAAGAACCAAAACTGAAGGAAAAAGGAAAGGAAAAGGAAAATTTTAAGCCCCATTTTCCACATTTTAGCGAGAATTGGGGCTTTGTAACCAAATCCTGCAAAACTGCAGTTCTATACACGTATATCATATTGAATTTACAAAGTATGCAGCTCGTTATGTCTTTCCTTTGAGATAGGATAGGGGATAGGCATAGCTGCAAGAGGCGATTCTGAACAAAATAGACTAAGGCTGATTTTTTCTGTAGGTTTGGTTTCGGCCAAACCAACTAATGCTGCCAACTCCCAACATGCAGTAAGTGATCCTAAATATAACTTGAGCCGATACTTTTGAGCAATGAATCCATGACGTCTTGAAAGGTGTCGATGTTGTCTTTACTCAACTTCCATGTAGTTTTGAAACAAGGTGTGCCTTTTGTCTCACACTTGCATTTGACTAGTTAAGGTCTTAGGGGTAAAAAGAAAAGCATTGTCATGGATTGCAAGTGCAGGTTATTGTTTTAAAATAATTTAGGCACCAAACTTTTGTCTAAATATTGATATCCTCTTCATTGTTAATTAGCAGGTTATAATCTTACTGACCTTAAAGACACTTTCGGCTTATCTAATGAGTTCATAAATTCCATTAGACAAAACTACAAGTCTAATCTGATGAGCTATGGGAGCGTTTCCAGCATGTTGCTTCAAGAGACTAGAATTTTAGCCTCATGTGACTATCCAAGACACACAAAATGGGGGGAAGAGGCAAGTGATAATTTTTTAAGAACTATTTCTAAATCACTGAATTATAATTACTCAACATTGTAAACCCTCATGCTTTGTTTTCAGGTAGGGTTTTTGTATCATTCAGTTGCGGAAGATTTCTTCACAGGGTTCATTCTACACTGTAAAGGCTGGATATCAGTCTATCTTAACCCATCAAGGCCGCAATTTTTGGGCACTTCTATCACAAGTTTGAGTGACCTATTGATTCAAGGCACAAGATGGAGCTCTGGGTTGGTTGAAGTTGGTATTTCAAGGTTTTCCCCTCTTATATATGGAACTCTGAGAATGTCTTTCCTTGAGAGCTTGTGCTATGCGGAAATTTCACTTTTTCCTCTTTTGTACTGTTTGCCTTTATGGTGTTTCGCTACCATCCCTCAACTTTGTCTACTAAATGGAATCTCTTTGTACCCCAAGGTAACAACTAACACAAAAATGATGTTACTCATATTTTGCTTTTCCCTCATGTCCCTTATAAAGTTTTCAGAAATTTCACCTGATATTCTGCTATAACGTCTTGTCATATTCGTCTCTGTTTTGTCACAGGTTTCAAGTTCATTCTTCATTGTATTTTCATTCATTTTCCTATCAGCCATCTCCAAACATTTGTATGAGGTCCTCAAAAGTGCAGGTTCAATCAATACATTGGTATACGAACAAAGATTATGGATGATGAAGTCAGTTTCAACTCACACTTATGGCAGTTTGGATGCTGTCATGAAACGGATAGGAGTGAGGGAAGCCAGTTTCTTGCCGACCAATAAGGCAGCAGATGAAGAAAAGCTAAAGCTCTACCAAATGGGTAAATTTGATTTCAAAACATCACCAATGTTACTTGTTCCTATGGTTACGGTTATAATCTTGAACATGACATCAATTGTTGTGGGAGTAATCAGAATTATCGTTGCTGGCAAATGGGACAGTATGGTTGTCCAAGTTCTTCTTTCATCTTACATCTTAGTTATGAATTCTGCAATTATAGAAGGAATGACTACAAGGAAGGACAATGCATGCATTCCATTATCAGTCATTGTGCCGTCTACTGTATTATCAATAATTTTCTTGTGTTTGGGATCTTTCTTTTTAATGTATTAAGCAATATACTCACATTATAACTTTGTAAGGGCTGTAGGTCACCATGGAAACTTTGTTCGCATACACCTTGATGAAATAAGACTGCTCGTTCTAGGGAATCTTGGGCTTCTTCTTTTCTTTTCCTTTTAACAACTGATCTTGATTTTTGTTGGAGCATCTGTTGTCAATTTGTCACCTAATCGACTTTTCTACTTTATCTAAATTGCCTAGACTTTTTGACAATTTAGACGCAAACCTTTATTTCAACATAGTACTTGACGACGTAAGGGCTTGCCTCAGATTGATGGCGATCAGTTGAGCACGCCGGATGAAAAAAAAAAAAAAAAAAGCTGTACTTATTAGTTCTCAGTTGATCATATTTGTTGATATGCCCTTTGTTTTTTGTTTTGTTTTGTTTTGTTTTTCTTTTTGTTTCTCTGGCAATTGATATTGGTGTATATGTTTGGAATGTGAAAGCATGGAATGCAAATTTCTCCATAATGTCACTCCATAATATCAATGTCTACGGTACATAATTTTAAATAAGAATCATTACGTGATAAAATGATCATTATATAATAATAATAGAATAATCTTTTATCGTTATTCGATGTTATACATGTTCCAATGTTGATTCATATGTATTGGGCATCATACATTAAAAAAATATCTTAAAATTCTGCCCTAATCAATTACTAATGCCAAAAAAAAAAAAAAAAAAAAAAAAAAAAAAAACGAGAGCTGCAAGAAAACTTGGTTGAGAATCAGCTAGAGAAAGAAAGATAAATAAAGAAAAGCTTAGTTAAGAATCAAAAAGAGAAAGGAGGATGAAGAAAGGAAAGCCTAGTTGGGAATCTAAAACGAAGAAAAAAATTGGAAGTGATTTAAACAGGAGCAAAGAGAGACAGAGAAAGAAAGAGATAGACCACGTGATATGCACAATAAAAAACTGGAGAATGAAGGTTTAATTCAATAAATTATAAATTGGTCTCTTTGGTTTAAGAAAAAAATAAGTTAGTCCTTCTTATTTTAAAAGTAAATTATTTAGTCAATTTTAAGTTATTTTCTAATTTGTTTTGCTTTTTATTTTTTTTAAATATATATATCATGAAAAGATTGATGACAAAAAATATTTTGTAAAATAAAATAATATTACATTAAATATGGTAAACACTCATAAAAAAACTAAATAATTAATTTTTGAAAAAAAACTAATTAATTCATTTATTAAAACTAAAAGGACTAATATGTTATTTAATCCAAAACGACTAATGTGCAGTTTAATCTCTATTATTCAACCAAATTTCCAGTTGCGGCACACAATTCAAAGATGTGCTGGAGAATAAGCTTCAAGTGAGTAAAATATAAATTCACCCCTTTAGTTTGGAAAAATAAATTAATTAGTTTATATAGTTTCAAAAAATAATTATTTAGTATTTTTTATTTTATTTTATAATTCTTTTTCTTTTTTATTTCAAAAAATAGAAAAAGAAAAAAAATTATATCATAAAAAAATTGATGAAAAAACATTTTGTAAAAATAATATAATATTACATTAAACATGATCACCACTAATTAAAAAATTAATTTATTATTTTTTATGATATTAATTTATTGAAAATGTTATTAATTTTTTATAATAAATTCAACTATTTTTTATAATATTAAAATATTAAAGGTGTCATTATTTATTAGGTGCCGTTTGATAATCGGGAAAAAAATGATAGGAATGGAAATACAAGAATCGAAATGAAAATTACGGAATCGAGATGGTATTTGTATTTTCATACTATGTTTGAAATATTAATAAGGAATCGAATGTAATTTAAATTTTTTAATATTTCGTTTTTTATGTAAATAAAAATAATTATTAAAAAAATAATTTTATTAAACTATAATGATTATAAAAATAATAAAGGTGATAATAATAATTGTGGTTATGACAATGGTAGCAGTGGTGATGATGGTGGTGGTAGTAGTGATAGTGGTTGTGATGGTTACGGTGGCGGTAATGGTGGTGGTTGTGATGATGGTGATTGCAATGGTGGTAAAAGTAGTGAATAGATAATAAATAAATAAAATATATTACTATTTTGAAAAAAAAATTCATTGTCATTCCTTATTTTTATTCTCACATCTTATATGGGAATGAAATTATGTGTGAATTTTTATTCTCATTCTTACTCTTCATTCTCATTCACTTTATTTCTCTTAACCAAACAACTACAATGTGGCAATAAAACTTTCATTTTCATTTCCACCATTTTATTTATAATTACCAAACAACACTTTAATTTATTTAAATTAATAAAAATATTAAAAATATATAAATTAAAATAAATTTCTCAATAATTATTATTGTATCAGCGATATTGAATATTATAACAGTCATTTTATTATCGTGATTTGTAATCGTGATCCCAACCAGTTTTTCAAGATCGCTGCAATCAGCCCACATGGGAAAATAGTTGACCTTTTCTCTTCTAAGAGATCAGCTCGTAGATATTGTCTCCTACTAAATAAAAGTTATTTTTACAAAGACATCCCACCTTCAACTACGAGTTAAAATGTAATCAATCACCGATATTACTCTATTTAGTCAAAAAGGATGGCTTCGCAAATAAGTTGATTTGTTCTTCATTGACTTCAAAACATTTAATGTTTAGCACATGGCATAACCGTCCAATTTGGAATGGCGGTCTTATTAATCAGAGTGAAAAAGCAAATAGCAAAACTTAAAAAGTAATGTGATTAGTCTAAGCTATTTTAGCAGTCAATGCATAAACAATGACTGCAGCATTGCAAGCAGCTTTGCTTCCGTAGCTTCATGGACTAACAGGTTACTAAGCAACTTAAAACAGTGTAAATGGAGTTGATAAGTACATCTTGGAAGATTTCTCTTGCAGAAGAACACTAACTAACCCGTAACCCAAAATGAAGTCTCTTCCTCTCAATGTCTGCACTCCTAACATACCCTCTGCCATAATCAACCGCTCATATTCTATCCTTCATTTCGCAGCCTTGGTAGCCTTGTTCTATTATAGACTCTCTTCTCTTCTACTATCAAAATCAAATCCTTCACTTCCTTATCTTCTAGTCTTTGCCTCTGAGGTGCTGCTCTCTATTATATGGCTTTTTGACCAAGCTTATGTATGGAGGCCAGTTTCTCGAACAACTTTCCCAGAAAGATTACCGGAGGATGAGGAGCTTCCTGGTATTGATGTGTTCATATGCACTGCAGACCCCAAGAAAGAGCCACCTCTGGAGGTGATGAACACTGTTTTATCAGCTATGGCACTGGAGTATCCACCAGATAAGCTTTCCGTATATCTTTCAGATGATGGGGGCTCGTCTTTAACATTGAAAGGAATGAGAGAGACTTGGTTGTTCGCCAGGTCCTGGCTTCCGTTTTGTAGGAGGTTTGGAATTAAGACTAGATGTCCTAAGGTTTATTTTTCAAGCTTGGAAGATGATTATTCTGGTCCCCTCGATTTTGTGGAATATGAGGAGCAAAAGGAGAAGATCAAGGTTTGAATACTGTGAACGTATTAAGTCAAGATCATTAATTTCATGTCTGTCCAATTATGTAATGTTTGTGAGAATTTGATGAAGTTTAATTTAAACTACTTGGTTTTGCAGAGAAAATACGAGCTGTTTAAAGAATGTGTCAATAGAGCAGGAGAAAATATTGAGAGTGAAGATGCAAGGACTACGAGCAACAAAGGTCATCCTCCGGTAATTGAGGTATGCCTAAGAATTCTAAAAACAAATGTTGGAGCATTTTATTCAGAAAGAAAAATTTCAATTCTCGCTGTCTGTTCCTTGTATTTTAAGCATTGATTACCATTCCAGTTCAGTTGCAGAGGTTAATGTGCAATAGTTGGCAATTTCTTGCAGGTTATAGACGATGAACCTCAAAATGATGCTGGAATAAAACAAGCCAAAATGCCTCTTCTTGTCTATGTTTCTCGTGAGAAAAGGCCTTCTCATTCTCATCATTTCAAAGCTGGAGCACTTAATGTTCTTGTACTTCCCTGTCTCTCCACTTCTCTGTCTTTGTTTTCTTTCCCTTAGTAACATGTTTGTGCATGCAAGCAAGCATAAGTATATTAACCAGATATCATTAATTTTTACAGCTTAGGGTCTCTGGTATCATGACCAACTCGCCTTACATATTGGTACTAGATTGTGACATGTACTGTAATGACCCAAAATCTGCTAGGCAAGCAATGTGTTTCCACCTTGATCCGAAAATTTCTCCCTCGCTGGCTTTCGTTCAATTCCCTCAGAAATTTCATAACATCAACAAGTATGACATCTATGATGGGCAGCTGAGAAAGCTATTCGTGGTAAATAAAGTTATCTTCTTTCACTTTTCATGGACACTGCAACGCCTTGAAGAAATTAGATCCTGTCCACTGATGAGTGCAAGCTCCATACCAAGTTTCCGCTGTTCTTCGTAATTTTGATGTATGACTTGATTATTGGTCTTTTCTATAGAGATGGTTTCATATTTTGTTTCAGATAAGGTGGCCAGGAATTGATGGGCTTCAGGGACCAATTCTGTCCGGCACTGGGTTTTACATGAAGAGAGAAGCATTATATGGCAATCTTTCACAGAAAGGTAAAGAATGCTTCTTGACCAAATTAGGATTGAAACTAAGTTTCTGGTTTATGCTCTACCTATTTACCATTCCTGTCCTGCGTTAATTGTAGTCTCCATGAACTTACCAAATTTTACTGATTATCACAAAAGTAGGATGGCATCAATTACAACCATAGTTTTAAATTGGGGCGATTGAAAAAATAGTCGCAGTCGTCGTCAGGTTTACTATAATATTAAAATAACAGTAATAGTATTTTCTGAAACTGTTACATAATGGCCATTATATAACGTTACAGCCATTATTTAAAACTATAATCATAACATCCAAACACTTGAGAGGATTCTGTCATCCAATCCATTTACAATTTTATTACAGGTCATTGAAGATAATTCACTTAATCTATCATTCTGACATGATGCAGATGTCCTGCATCTAAAACAATCTTTTGGACATTCGAATGAGTTTATCATGTCGGTTCACAAAATCTATCAGCATAGTGCCATCAAGTATACAGAATCATCAAGCAAACTTCAACAAGAGGCCCAATTTTTAGCCTCTTGCATCTATGAGAAAAACACACTATGGGGCGAAGAGGCAAGAGTGGATTGATCAATTCCTAGCTTTCATTTTGTTCTACATCCTTACGGATTATAAATTTATGTATTCTTTTCATGGCTTGAAAGCAGATGGGTTTCTTGTATCATTCTGTAGTCGAGGATTACTTTACTGGGTTCATCTTGCATTGCAAAGGGCAAACTTCTGTTTTCTGTAATCCTTCAAAGCCCGCATTCTTGGGCAGCTCTACCACAAATTTGAGTGACTTGCTAGTTCAAGGCACGAGGTGGAACTCTGGGTTGTTTGAAGTTACACTCTCAAAGTTTTGCCCTTTCATTTATGGCATATTGAGAATGCCATTACTTCAAACCATGTGCTATGGCTACCTTGCACTTCAGCCTCTCTATTTCTTGCCCTTGTGGTGTTTAGCTACGCTGCCTCAACTTTGTCTCCTGAATGGGATCCCCATGTACCCTCCGGTAAGAATACCCACGCCCTTGTCTTCTATCTTAATTCTTCATTTCTAGGCTCTTTGATCTGCTTTTTCTCTCATCTTGATAGTAGTAGTCATTTAAATGAAATTAGACATAGACCGAAAGTGTTGTGGAAACTTTTCGATATTTAGAGAAAGTCTGTGATGGAGCGACACTGCTGGCTTTTCACCATTGTTTGTGGAAACACTGCAAGTGAAGGCCAGTATTTCTTCATTTCTGGGTGCAAGGGTATAACTGTTTTGCTAGTTCAAGGGGTGTCCTGAGTAGGCAGAGAAATAATTCTTCCAAGGTTTAGCTGATAAATTTCTAAAGAAGCCTTTTTATCTTTCTAACCTGTTTTGGAACTTTAATGAGTTTTATTCCTTAAGAGCTGTAGGCTCTAAAATTCATTTGTCTTCCGGAACAGGTTTCGTCTTCATGGTTTCTGGTCTATTCGTTCATTTTTCTAGCTTCTCTCTTGAAACATTTAGAAGAGGTCCTCTCCACTGGAGCCTCAATCCAGACCTGGATAAATGAGCAGCGCATTTGGATGATAAAGTCAGTTACTGCGTACACATATGGTAGTTTAGATGCTATCTTGAAATGCATTGGCATGAGAGAAGCCAGTTTCCTGCCAACAAATAAGGTAGCAGATGATGAACAAGTTGCATTGTATCAAATGGGAAAAATGAATTTCCAAGCAGCGACGGTGATACTTACGCCAATTGTTACTTTAGTAATCCTGAACATGGCTTCCTTCTTTTGGGGAGCTGCTAGGATGGTCATTGCAGGAAGTTGGAATGAGACGTTTGGACAAGCATTCCTATCATTTTACATATTGGTGGTAAACTACCCTGTAATTGAAGGAATGCTATTGAGGAAGGATAAAGGACGTGTTCCAACTCCAGTTACCGTATTGTCTCTTGTAATCACCATTTGCTTGTTGTGCTTGGGACATATGGCTCTAAATTGTTAAATTGCCATGAAATCTCATTCATGATTCACCCTATTCCAATCTAAATTACTAAATCACCCTTTATATCTTGTACTATACTTACCTTGTAAGACAGGAAACATTGAGATCGCAGGGCATTTTCTGGGCATGCAGGGCATACCCTGCTTCAATGCTATACTAATTAGTTGCTTATTGTTTAACAAGACTAATTTTTTAGGATTTTATGAGGTTATTATTCCAGTTCTTCACAGCATTAAATTAACAAGTTATAGGTGATCCAAGATCCGAGCTACAATGAGCAATTTGTAGAAAGCGAGCATATAAAAAGAAGTCCTGTATTCACATGCATCCTCTCACTCTCTTTTCATAAAGATCAATCACCCCTCTAACTGCGTCTCTCCCTTTCAAACCTGAAACCTCACAAGAAAACCGCCAGCAAAATACCTACTTTCTGCCCTTTTTTCCTTATCTATCTTCTCCAACATAAACTCTCCTCATTGTCAAGCTCCCTAAAACTCCGTACCCAATTCGACAAACCAAAAGAATTCTCTCGAACACCATTCAAGACCAAACCATAACCAGCTTCATGTCTCACATAAAAGACCAAATGTCCATAAGAGTCCAGTTCCCACTTGACCCAAACGCATACAAAATCTTGGATGAGATTGGTGTTGGTGTTAGTGCCACAGTTTACAAAGCAATATGCGTCCCCATGAACTCAACTCTTGTTGCAATCAAATGCATCGATCTTGATCAATCTCGAGCCGATATTGATAGTCTCAGACGTGAAACCAAGACCATGTCAATTCTTTCACACCCCAACGTTCTTGAATCCCATTGTTCTTTCACTGTTGATCGCCATCTTTGGATGGTTATGCCTTTCATGTCTGCTGGTTCTCTCCAATCCATAATCTCCTCTTCTTTCCCTGATGGCCTACCAGAGCCATGCATTGCTATAGTTCTCAAGGAAACCCTAAACGCATTGTCTTATCTTCATGACCAAGGGCATATACACAGAGATGTCAAGGCTGGCAACATTCTTATAGACTCAAATGGAAAAGTAAAGCTCGCAGATTTTGGCGTATCAGCCTCGATATACGAGTTGAACACCTTTGAAAGACCATCCTCTTTGTCTTACTCATCAAGCATGAGGTTAACTGATGTTGCAGGGACCCCATATTGGATGGCACCAGAGGTTATACACTCACACACAGGTTATAGTTTCAAAGCTGATATATGGTCTTTCGGTATCACTGCGTTGGAATTAGCCCATGGTCACCCTCCTTTGTCTGACCTTCCTCCATCAAAGTCTTTGATGATGAAGATAACAAAGAGATTTCGGTTCTCTGATTATCATGATGAAAAACACAAGAAGAATTGCAGGAACAAAAAGTTCTCTAAGGCTTTTAAAGACATGGTTGCTTATTGTCTTGATCAAAACCCTTCAAAGAGACCTTGTGCTGATAAGCTCTTGAAGCATTCTTTCTTCAAGAACTGTAAAGGATTAGACTTTTTGGTCAAGAAAGTTTTGCAAGGGTTGCCAAGTGTTGAAGAAAGATTCAAAGAAACAAGGGCTTTATATGGGCCATCAAGCCACAGTAGTACTGATATTGAAGAACAAGTGAATCAGGAGGATATTGAGGTTGACTTTGTATTTCAAAATGTGAAGACTAGAAGGATAAGTGGCTGGAACTTCAATGAGGAAGGGTTCCAGCTTGACCCAGTATTCCCTACTGACTCAAAAAATGATTCAGTTGTGAAACAGGTTCGTTTTGGAGGCGAGTCCTTCATTCCAGAAAAGAAAATTGAGTTCAGCGAGTCTGATGGGTCAGGTGAGTTAATTGACTCAGCCCAGTCATCAAGTCTGAATTCACCAGCTCCAGTTGAAGAAGAGATGAGCCGAGTGGGAGGATCTTTTGAGGGTTTAAATCAAGAGACAATGTTAAGGGGTTTAGTGGCATTAAAGAGGAGCTTGGAGGAGCAGAGAAGGCATGTGGCAATTATAATTGGTCTGCTAGGAGGGGAGACGAATGGAGAGGAGCAAATGGTGCAAATGATTGAGAATTTGAAGGGGGAATTGGACCTTGAGAAGCAAAAGAACTTGAAGGTCGAGATGGAATTGGAGGTTCTCAAGATTGTGATTTCTGGGGCATTTGGTGCTGCTGCTTCGTTTACTAATTGAGAGTCTTTCATTGACTTTCTGTGGAAGATGGAATTTTGGCATCTCAAGCTTCTGATTTCTGGTGCGTAGAGTGTTTGATTTCCTAGGACTGGTAAGAAGTAAAAACGGAGCCTTCTCTTTTGTTTATTTATTTTTATCGTTTTTAGCAACTCTAGGACCGTTTTGTACATGTCTCGTAAATGTAATGATGAAATGCGATATGACCTTTTGCTGGCAACCTCTTATACAACTATGATCTGTTTCTTTTGTTTTTTTCAATCAGCAATTGAGTTTGAGCCTTGCGTTGATGGAGTGCTATTTTGTATTGTATGCTGAGATGGGGCTCAGCTCTTGGAGGAGCTAAGTTCCTATCTGGATATAAAACTACAAAGTGTTGCTTTTTGTCACTTTACTTTTTTGTTTTGCTGGGAGAGTTTTCGGTTAGGTTCATGCTTGACATCACATGCATATGGATAGCTTTGGTATTAACTTTCGCATCTGTGTGATCCAAAATGATCCTCCTGTTTTGGCTCAACTGATGGCTTTTCTTTATTTATTTATTTTTTTTAACATATTCAATTGATAATATGATCAAGTGCAGGAACACTTTATCATTTTAGCCCTGCCCTGGAATTGGAAATCTCGAACTTGCTATTGAAGACCCTAGCTAATTGAAAGTTTGCTGGGTTTTTTCTTGATCACAAAATAAGGGAATAACGTTGCTTAGATTTTCTAAATTCATATAGTATTGGCCAGATTCCATAAATTTCTCTTGCGGAGACCTTGTCCAAGTGGAGGAGGCAGCCCTTGGGCTGACCTAGCCCAGATAACACAGACCGTGGTAATGGGGGAGTGGATACGGAGATGGCCTAGGCCCAATACTGATATGCATAAAAGCATGATGAAGCCCAACCTTACTATTTCATTCTTTTTTTTTTTTTTTTTTAATTCCCTTTTGCCCCGTACAACTCTCGCTAGTCACTTACTGACTTCTCTCTCGCAGGGTCAGAATTTCTTTTGGTTCTCTTTGCACTTTCGGTAACTTAAATGACATATAGTCAGTCCATCCTTAACTATTAGATACGAACTAGACGAACCCTTTTCTTTCTTTTCTTTTTTGCGTTAATTTTCTTGTAAATCTTCTTTATTTATTTATTTTTTTCTTAACTTCGTTGTAATTCTTCAAAACGTATATTTTGTAGCGTTATTTAGACTTTTATGAAATATGTAAGTCTACAACTTGACCTTTATATATTTTTCGCTTGCTATGAAGATTTCAAAATAATCCTTTTCTTTTCAACCTGCCGTCTTATCAGTATATTTCTTTTCCTTTTACGAAAGAAGATCCCATTTATGAGAGCCAGTAGAGCTTATATCATCCAATACAAAGCAAGGAGTAAATGGGGCATCAAACTTACCAAGTGAAGATTGCCAATTTTCATCAGGTTTGAATTTGGCTAACTGTACCAAGTGAAAAGGCATCAAATGGGGCATCCTCCAATTGTAATAATTTTATCAGGTTTGGATTTGAAACTGTGCCAAGTAACGAGCAATACTTCTCAAACTCTTCAATCAGATGCAAACTGTCTCATTTGAGCTCCACTGTTTAAGTCCAAAGTCAAGAGGAAGCTGAAGCCCATAAATTGCAACCTGGGCTTCTATGCAAGTCTACTTTCATAATTCTGATGAGGAAGTTTGAAGAAATTGGAGAATAAGATAATATTCACGTATTTGTTATTACAAAGGTACAAATATATATAGTGATAACAGGGAATAAAGATCCTAACAATAAAGAAAAAATTACATGGTTTAATAAAAAAAGATTATTGCCATAATATTACAATACAATTTCCTAAAGTATAAAGTAAAAATAACGACAATAATGCCCCTCAAGTTGGAGCATAAAAATTGAAAATGCGCAACTTGCCTAACAAATTCATAAATGATCCTAACCAAGAGCTTTGGTGAAAATGTCGTTTGTTGATGGTGAGTAGAAATGGACCGAGATGAGAGGAGTTTGAATTGAATGTGTTGGTAAATAAAGTGACGATCAATGTTAATGTGTTTGATACGTTCATGAAGCAATAGATTAGTAGCAATATGAAGAACAACCTCGGTTGTCACGGAATAATAAAACCAAATGAGGATGAGAGACACCCACATCGAAAAGAAGATGAACAAGCTAGACTATCTCACTAGTAGTAGTTGTCATGGCTCGATATTTGACTTGGTTGTGGAACCGGAGACAATAGATTGTTTCTTGGAATGTAAAGATATCGGGTAAAATCCGAGAAATACAATGTATCTATTGGTGGATCGATGAGTAACTCGGATAACCAACACAATCAACATCACAATAGCCGTGTAGAGACAATGAACTATTGGAGAGAAAGAAATGCCTTGTCTAGGAGCACCTTTGAGGTATCGAATACCCGAATAGCGAGCATCAAGGTGTGGCTTGCGTGGCTAGTGCTCGCTGCATGAACCGACTTAAAACTTGTATTACATAACTAATATCCGGTTGAGTGATGGTGAGATAGAGTAAATGCCCTAATAGATGTTGATATGTGCTAGGATCATCACAAAGAGAACTAGAATAAAAAACAAGCTTATGTTGTCGCTTCATGGGTGAGGAGGCCGGTTTGCAACCATTAAGACCACATTTAGTTAATATGTCAAGACTATACTTATGTAGACTCAACACAATATAAGTCGGATGGCGAGCATCCTCAAGTCCCAAGAATTATTTGAGTTTACCAAGATCTTTAATACAAAATGTGGTGTCCATATACTATTTGAGCCAAGAAATCATAGTGGCATCAGTCCTATGATGATCAAATCATCAACATAAATAAGAACAACAATGAAGGAATCATGCCGAGAAGAGAGGAATACGGAATGATCGAAAGAAGACTAAGTAAAACCCACAACTCGGTAAGGATTGGGTGAATTTATGGTACTAGTTGTGTGATGCTTATTAAAGATACTTTTGAAGGCGGACATGTAATATCCTTGACCTAAAAACCTCTATATATATATATGTTTGTATGAATAATTTATTTAATTAATATATAAATATTTATTTAAAGTGTGAGTTAGTAATTTAGAGAAAGTAAACTAATGCATGCATAAATATTATGGAAGGTGAATAAATTATTTAGTTCTTGAATTAATAGTTTATGATATTAATTTTTATGGTTATATGTTAACCTAGGGGTGTAATTGTAAAAATTTAGGGACATAATTGTAACATTTAAAAGTTTGAGTACTTGATTGAAATGATTAGAAAACTTAAATGACCATCATGAAATTTGAAAAAGCCTAGATTAAGGGCTTGATTATGAAAAATTAGAAGTTTAAGTATTGAAACTAAAGGACCCAATTGTACTAATTAAAAAGTTTAGTGACCAAAATTTAAATTTTTTTATAAATTGAGGAACCAACTAATTCGGTTAGAATTGATCATTTTTTTACCCGAATTGGGCTAGAAAATGAAGTGACATAAGGGCTAAATAAATTTAGATATGTTAGAAAATGAAAGGAAAAATATCTAATGAAAAGGAAAGGAAAAAAGAAAAAAAATGGAGAAATCTCTAGAAAGCTAATTTAATGAACGAACTAAAGAGATGAAACCAAGTGTACCACTTATGGTAAAATATCAAGAAATTCCTTACCTATAAATTCGGCAAAAGAGGAAGAAGAAAGGGTGATGGACAATTGAAAACTCAAGGAAGGATAAAGCAAGAATTCAAGCTATTTCAAGTAGGATCAAACCAAAACACAACCTAAAACCACCTAATTAACCATCTACGTACCCTAAAATTTGTTTAGTAAAGCTTAGAAGAATTAAAAAAAAAAAAAAAAGGAGGAGGAAGAGAGGTTTGGGCTGAATCACAGGAGAAAGAAAAGGAGGAGGAACTTCAAGTCTTCGAGGAAGAGAATTTATCAAGCATCGAGTGAGGTAAGTGTAGTCCTCACTACACCATAATAAAAGATTATTTTGATGATTGATTGTTTTTGTTTTAATGCTTGAATGGTTATGAGTTTATGGCTCAATTATTTGAGTTATAGAGAAGTTTTTTTATTTTGATGAATTAGTGATGGAAACTATGTTTTTGATTAAAGAATTAGTTTTTTTGGTGGATTAATTGAAGTAAATTGATGGATTAAAGTTGTGATGTTGATGATGAGAGATTCTACTTGACCTTAAATTTTAAGGGAAATTGTTAACTTTATGATTTTGTGTTAATTATGTGTTCATTAGGTGGGTTAATTATGTTGACAAGTGTTAAATTGAAAAATTGAAGTTAATTTCCCTTAATGAAATTTTCGGCCATAACCCTAGAATTTAGATTAATTAGGTTAAATGGTGTAATTGGGTTATTTAGAAGTTTACATGTTGAATTGATTGTGTTTAAATATGTTTGATAATGAATTTTTTAAGGTTGAATATTTTATGAGAATATTCGGCCGAAACCATAGGATTAAGGGTGATTAAATTGGTTAATGTTTAATGTACTTTATGGTTTAAAAGGATGAACTAGCATGAAAATGAGTAATTAAATAGAATAATTCACCTTGATTAGGAAATATGAATAATTAAGCCAAATAAGATTGATTACCTAATTTATAAAAATTAAGGTGAATGAACGTTTAAAATAATGTTCAAGTGTGAATTTATATGTTTTGTGTTTGGTTGTATGGAAAGGCATTCTTTAGGTAAAATTCGATCAAGTATTTGAATTTATGATTCTTGATGTTTACATGATTTATTATTAGTTCATGCTTGTTTTGATTAATTGGTACATGCTTATATTTGAAAGATTACTTCACATGTACATCTAATTTATTAAGCTTGCTTGTACATGGTAAAGGTTAAGGTTAAAGCATTTCATGTGAATGTATTTTCATATCATTATCATGAAAAGAGGTTTTCTTTTATGATTTTGATAAAAAAAAAAAAAAAAAAAAAAAAAAAAGAAGAAAAAACACATGTTTTCAAAAAAACAAAAAATGGCTAG